CTCTCTCTCTCTCTCTCTGTCTCTCTCTCTCTCTCTCGCTCACTCTCCCACTCCGCTGCTCACTCTCCTCACCCCTTCCTGCTCTATGTCTGTCTGTGTGTCTCTCTCTCCCCGCACACTCACACACACACAAACACACCCCAGGATCTTCACTCTGGAATACTAGCACATATAGGATACCTCCTTCTGCTCTCTGGCTTGGACCCCAACCAGGGTACAAACATCCCTCTGCAAATTTCAGCCACACAGATGATTGAACTTTCTGTGGAATGCTAGGCAATTCTAGGTCCACCTCTGCTTCCAAGGGCCCTATGTGAAGCTCGTCAAGATGACACGTGGATCGTGGCCTGGTAGATAACCCTACCTGGCTCCAATGGAAACGAGTCTCAGAACTACTTGGCTGAACTTCGGGATGTTTCATTAGCCAAGTTTTTCACTGCCTTGTGCTTGCGCAAATAAGCAAATTGGTTCCTATCTCCTGTCCTTCAGCTCAGGAAAACCTGTGAATGCTTTGTTTTCCATGCCAGTGAGATTCCCCCCGTTCATCATTCCAGAGGCCGGATTCTGCACCAGGCCACCAAATCCCTCAGGGATCTCAGGGACAGACAAACCCAATGAGGATTTCCCCCAGGCTTTCCCAGGACCTGGCAGGAGGCGTCCTGATTAGAACACTGTCGGACCAACCCCTATACCTCATTCCTCTTTTGCAGGAGTATAGAGCCTGGGCTGTGGAAACAAGTCCATCCATGACGCTGGTTATTCACACATTAGAGGCATTAAAAAAATATTGTAACATCCGCACAGCTACGTGGATTCGGTTTGTGCCTGTGAAGAGCTCACGTGTTCACGCTCTGACACTCACTGTCTGTGTGACCTTTGCAGAATGTGTTTAGCCTCTAGGAACCTCAGTTTTCCCAGAGGCAAAATGGCCCTAACAACAGCACCCTGAGTGATAAATAACGAATGCTGTTATAAAGACGAGATGAGATCACGGACACAGAGCACCAGATTCCGGGGTCCAACACACTACGTGCGCAATACACAGCCATGTCGGCATTGTCACTGCTATTTCACGATCTACTTAGAGATTTGGTCTGCTCTGATGTGCCGATGCCTCATGTTGTATGTGAGTCCCTCCTGATGGCATGGGAAATACTTCCCTAAAGTAGCTTCTCTATTCCATTCTGCCACAGGTAGCAATGTATCCCAAGACAACCTTATCTTGATATTCCCTCAAAATCAGTGACACTGAAAGCTTCTATGATAGCAGTAGGATTTACATGCTGAAAATATTTTTTCAAGTTTATTTCTTCATTTTAAGTGCAAGGGAGTGAGAATGCAAAGAAAGAGGGAGAGAGAGGGAAAAGAGAGAGAAAGTATGTGAGAGAGAGAGAGAGAGAGAGGGAACGTGTAGGGTATGGGGGCAGACAGATGGGGAGAGAACGAATCTCAAGTCAACTTTTCACTCTCAGCCCAGAGCCCAAACTAGGGCTTGATCTCAAAAGCTGTGAGGTCATGACCTGAGCAGAGATCAGGAGTTGGATGTTCTATCAGTTGTATCACTGAGGCACCCCTAGATGCTGAAAATATTCTTTTTGACTGGATAATATGAGAAAATAATAATTGATTTAATTTCCTTCATCACCCTGCCCTGTTGTAGAATCACGATGTCCTGAGCTGTTTGCTTTAGAAGA